CAGACATACCGCTGTGCCACTGGGGGCACACCAGTAGTATTATCAACCACTGTCTAAAAGAATGTGATGTTGTGCCAACCCCCAGTTTCTTCCACGTCATCCTTCATTCCCGTGAATCATTCCAACTTAGAATGTTAGAATCTCTCGCTGTTAAAGTTAAGAAAACCAGCTCTCAACCTCTAGATGAGCACACTGCCACTACTTCTTCAATTGTGAAAATGTAAACAAAGAGCAGGATATGAAGTTCGATCGTTGCTATCTGTTAATGTAAAAAAAATAATAATTCGATCAGGTTTATTTAAAATATATAAAAATGTGCATCATTACAAAGTTTTCACCGAAACTATATAGTCACATAAACATCTGCATATATAATCACTCAAATATATTTGCTTTTCTGACTGACAAACACTTCTCACGTGTATTGCCAGTTCAGCCGAGAAATATATCTTTTGTTGGGGGTTTTCTTGTTTATTTATTTTTAAAGATTATATTCTAAAGCTGTTCTCAGTTTAAACCTGACTGATAAAATCTAGGTGAAGATAAATTGACATGTAACACCAGAGGACATAATAATGTGGTATTTATTTTCGGATGGCAGTAATTTATTTCTCTTAAAAGTGACCAAGATAAGTCCACTGAACAACGGAAGATTTATCAAAATATTTACTGCGAAATACTTAAGAGAAAATTAACCCAAATATACAATCACAATAAATAATCTTTATTTAAAGACACACGGTGAAAACTGTACTTAACAATGAACAGTCGTTTTTACTGGAGTTAGGTTTGAAGATGTTCTTATTTATTTGTATCAGAAATCGTAAGAAACAATCATTCTGTTGAGATCTTGATCCAAACTGTATACATCTCACGTCACTTGCTTAACTTGTCAACACCAGACTCACCCAGAGCGACTGGTCATTCTCAGTGAAACATACTAGTAAGAGAAGTCATTTACCTCAAGAGATTACCTAACTGTCAGTAGAAAAGATGACTGTTTGGAATTACCGCTGTAAATATTGTTAAAAAGGTAAAAAAAATATATTGACTAGCTATACTGATGGTCAAATTGATTTTGAGTTTCGCTCTAAATACATAAGTTATTCTTATCCGAAAGTTATTATCATCGTGTAAGTTCATATATTACATGTGCTACTCCAGGTGAATGACACGAAACAATAGGTAGCTAGAGCAACAGTAGCACAACGACCTTCTCAATCTATGTGTTATGTGGAAACTGCGCATATCTCCACAAATAACAAATTTTGAAAAGTTCTTATATTAATAAAATGGGTAGGAAATATATGGTATACTACCCAGTGGTTCAGCGGCAATTCAGCAGACTTAAAACGCTAAAACCGGGTTTCGATACCCGTGGTGGACAAAGCACAAATAGCACATGGTGTGCTTTGTGCTATCAAACAAACCAGACCATATATCATAATAATACCATAATAACTCTCTTATATGTTCACAAAACTTATAATTTGCTCGAAAACTTCGGTAAAGTGTGCGACTCAATCTGTTGACATTATAGTGTCTAACTCTGCTCATAGTTGACTAACTTCCTTCCCTCGAGTTTATTACATGATCATGGTTGTTATTTTCTTGCAGAACTGGGCGGGGCCTAACAGTTACTGTGCTAGGACTGTGAATCAAGAACGCGCTTTAGAACTATGGATGAACTATAAAAATGATGGCGGTCAAAATCCACTATTCACTCAGACAAGAGTAGGCCAAGAACTGGCGATTGGTGTTGGTGACTATCTGCCTTCCTTTTAGCCTATCAGCTTAAAATTAGGGACGGTTATGCGCAGACAGCCCTATATGTCTGGACCTTCCC